GGGGTGGGGCTCAGCCGGGCCCGGCCCGCGCACGCGCACGCGCACACGCGCGCACGCGGGTGTGCAAGGGCGTGCACACACATGCACGGGCATGCATGCATACGTGCACACACATGCACGGGCATGCACACACATGTGTGCACACGTACACACTGATATGCAGGGGCGTGCACACACATGCACGGGCGTGCATGCATCCGTGCACACACACATGCACACATGTGTGCATGTGCACGCCAGGCGCACACACATGCACACAGGCACACACATACACACACACATAAATACACGCATGCATACATATATGCAACACACACACTCTTAATGTGCCATACACAACACACATGCATATCTGCAACACAATGCACATATGTGAAACGCTCACACGCATGTGCACACATGCACAAACATGCTTGCACACACATACACGCACACGCGCATCTTGCGACAGCCCAGCGTGTGTGCAGCTGCCCCCGGGCCGCATTGTGGGCCTGGGCATCGGAGCCCACGGGGCCACCTCTGGGACACGCTGCCGTGGGGGACCCCTGCAGAGCCCCCTCTCGCTGCGGCGCCGTGCGGGGGACAGAGTTGGTGACGAGTTGGTGACGAAGCCGCCTCAGCCAGCCCTGAGGCGGGGTGGGGCCCCCCCGGTCCCCCTCCCCCCTGCTTGGACACCTGCGGCCATGGGGTCCCCGTGTCCTGCTCGAGAGGTGCCGCCGCGGTGCCCAGCAGCCCAAGGCTGCTCCCACTGCTCGGAGCCGCTGCTCCGTCCGCCGCCACCCCTGCGTGCTGGGGGGAGAGGAGCAGCCGTCCGCCCGGGGCTCCCTGCCTGGCTCTTCTCTCCTTCCTGGACAGCTATGGAGCACCCGCACCCTGGGGCACCTGGTCTTGACTTGTTCTGTAAAGCACTAAGTCATGTGTAAAAGTTGCAGACAACAAACGTGACCACTCACGGGCTCTTCCCAGATGTTTTTGCGTAGCGCTGGAGTTGACAGGATCTGTGGAAGCAGTTCCTGAGGGGGTGGAAGGTATACGTGCACTGAAAAACTCAAGGATTTTTCTGATGCCAGCCCAATTTCAGGAACTGTGCTCTGTTCACTGCAGCCTGAGTTGGGCCCATTTTTCGTGCGTGCATTTTTGTAGCTGAACTGCACTGCCTGCCCTCAAGGTAGGTAACATCAACCCAGGTATAGTTTAGTGCTGAGGGAAATCTCTTAACAAGCTCCTTGGGGCAGTAAACCACATGAAAGATGGTGCCCAAAGGGCAGATGTACCTGTTCATTCCCTGTCTTACAAGAAGTGATCTCAGGATCAAAGGGCAGAGATGAGCATCTACAGGGCTTTTCACTCCCCTCCTGCTCCAGACTCTGCATGGCTGCAGCAAAACAAATCTGCAGAGGAGCCGGGCACGGCAATGTGCAGACCCCCATACTACCACGTTACCGAAGGAAACAGCAGCCCCGGCTGCTGGGTCAGGCCCTTCGCAGCTGCCCCGGCTGTGCCGTGCAGTGCAGGGGGGAGCGACTGGCCCGGCACGCACGCGGCTCCAGACGGGAAGGGGGCACCTGATCCCTGCTGAGCCTCAAGCAGGTTTTCTGCATAAAAGACGGAGATAACGGGAGTTATGGCCTGCAAAGCCCACACGCTAAGGGAGGTGAGGCAATAGGAAATTCAGGATTCCCCCGGTCACTTCTTTTCTCCAAGGCCCCTGTTCGGTCAACACTTGATGCTTTGACGTTCTGGCTCTATTCTTGCCCAGTGCTTCCCTTTCCCTGGCTGATAAGCCCATGGACACAGCGTAAAGAAAAGGTGTTCACGCAAGGGCAGAGAGCGCAAGCCAAAACCGACGCTCTGCTCCGCGCTGGCTAAGCTTTCTTCAAGCATAAAGAAATAACTGAGCTTTTCCTGTGAGTCTGCTTATGCATCTAAAAAACTCCTGAATTAATCCCCGATTTTCTGAAGCAAGGGAGATCCTCAGACTGAGATTCGCAACAGCGCTTATCGGGCACCTACCAGCACTTCGCAAGGCTCAGACGGAGATGCCGGTCCCCCAGGCAGCCCCGTGTGTCTGCTCGGCTGCAGCGGCGACACAGAGCCCCCATCGCCCCTCGTGCCCTCGCAGGGCCGCACGGCGCCGGGGAGCCCCCATTGCCCCTCGTGCCCTTGCAGGGCCGCACGGAGCCGGGGAGCCCCCACTGCCCCTTGTGCCTCGCAGGGCCGTGCAGCGGCAGCGCCGCGAGCCACCCGCCGAGAGGGACCGGGCCATGCTCACCGGCCTCGGCAGCGCCATGCTGAGAGAAAGGCAACGTTTGTCACTGAGTCAGGTGAATTCAACATTCACATATATTTGCTGAAAAAAAATTATATACATCTGTAGCAAGGCTCTGCCAAGTCTGAAAGATAAGCATCATCTAGTCACTAAATTAAAAAAATAAAAATCTGACTTTTAAATCCTTTTCTTTTTATCCATGTTCAAGAGCACAGACAGTTTATTTTTTTGTTAGCACATTTGGTGAAGAATGTATGTTTGTGTGAGAATCCATGGAAACGGGTGAAAATTTGGCATTTGTTTTGGATATGATGGAAAATAATAAGCCACTTATGCCTTACAGTCTAAATAATCCACAGAGTATATCAGATTGCAAAAGGGTCACAAAATAGCAGTCAAAGAGAAGCCTAAACACCCAGAGACTTAACATACATGTCCGATAAGTAAGAACAAGGTATAGAGCATGCTGGCTAATTAAATAAATTTCACTTTAAACCCTGTTCCTTATGAGTGTAACCCTGGAAAAACTATCCCGTACAAGAAATGGACTCTGAAGAGATTTCTATATCCATTCACAGTAAGGCTTTGAAGATATATGAAGTTTTATAGCATTTGTATTTTAAGGATTTAGGGCAAGTACATGTTCTTCTACGGAATAAAAAGAAAGTTAGTACTTAAAAGGTTCAAAAATATATCAATCATGTGATTATTATTTTTTTTACATAAATAAATTATATTGATTTTGGATTTAACAGCTGAAAAAACCCTTTCTGCTTCCACTGGAGGCAAAACTGAACAAAATGTTAGTTAAATAGAGATAGCAGCATTTCTAAGAAATCTGTTGACAGTGATACAGTATCTATGCTACAAGGATGTTATTAAATAGAACACATTTAATTACCTGGGAGGTGCATTATGACTGGTTACACACTTTAAAAAGAAAGGAAAGAAAAATCATCCAATCCAGAAAACTGGGAATAAATTCCACAAAAATATAACCTCAAATGCTTTTTTTTTCTTTTTTTTTTTCTAGATCATGGGTAACAGACTTCTTTGAGATGCTAATTTTAACATGTACATAATTTATAACCCCAAATGTATAAAAGACAATGACAAAAAGCATCATAAATAAATAATGCAAACTGAAATAGTTATGTCAAAACATTTGGACCATCTGATAAATTAGCAAAACTGTAACAGAAAATAAGTAAAAAATACAGTAAATTGTGACAACCAAATGTGAAACCGATTGCTAGGACACTGCGAGCCCCTCGGGAGCTGCTGCCGCGCCGTGCACCGCGCCAGGGTTGTGTTTCAAGTCTCAGACCACGAGCTGCAAACGGGAAGGAGCCCAGGTGCGAGCACAGCGCCGCGAGGACGGCCGGGCAGGGGGACGTGGAACCCACGGCCTTGTCACCACAAGGACCCGCCGCAGGGCCGCTCGGAACCACCGCTCCACAGCAGAGAGCCTAGGCAGGAATGGGAGGAGGAAGCAAAGGCGGTCTCTGCGCGCTCGAAAGGAAGGAACTCAAGCTCTGGAAAGCTCAGCAGCCCTTGGCAAAGGGCGCTCGGGACCGCGGCACTGCCCACGGCCTCTCCGAGGCTCCCGACAGGACCGATGTCGCGTCTGGGGAGAGACTGCCAAGTGCAGGAACTCAAAAAGCCTCAGTGTTCGTATACAAGCGTTAAAATCAGCATGGCCTGCTCCGGGCTGGAGAAAGGAACAGGACAGCGCTCCTACTGCCACAGAGGACAACTAGTGCCAAGGATGAGAACGGGACGCGGGCAGGAGGAGGAAGAGCTGGTAGCTATAGGTACAGCAATCCCAATAAAAGTCATGCAAGATGTGCAAAAAACACTTTCAGCCTGCGCTGAAAAGCTCTCGTAACTACCAAGGAAAGGGCAACTAAAACTCCACTTAACAGAAAACCAAACTTTGGTTTTAAAAAATACAAAATAGTGTCTACATAATATTTTCACTCACCGTAGTTTGTCTCCAAAAGTTTGAGGTGGGGGTGGTAAAGAAATTGTATCACTACCAGTTATGCCTTTTTGTTTCAAAGAAATGAATATATGCATTTTCAATCATTAATTATATACTTCTGTCTATACTACTATTCTAGTAACCATGATAAAATAGGGAAATACTTTAAATCAAAAATACACATTAGCACTTACTATAGCTGTGCTTTTTACCCCCAAATACAGGCTTTTCCATTCAGTGTCGCTGTAGGAAGAAATACCCTTGTCTGCACTTAGACCAAGTGTCAAAGACATTTCTTCTGCTCTGTTTTTTGCTTCTTTTCCTTCTCCCGCACATGAGTGATTTTGGGGGTGACCAGGTCCTGGATTTGCTATTGTTGGCTGGGATGAACAACCGGAAAACAAAATGCAAATTCTGTGCCTCCCACACTAGCTAGACAACACTGTTTATCTAATAAAGTGGCAAGACCCTGCAACTATTAACATGTAGTATGTCACCATAGTTTTCGTACAGGGAATTAGGTAGATAGCATTACTCATGGAAACACAGGTTTATGAAGGTGAAGTGGGGGCGGGAGGGTAAGTAACAAATAGTTATGGGATAAGAACCTTACAAGCCACAATCTTTTAAATGAAACCAGAGTTCTAATTGGTGTCATCTGTTTCTTTCAGCTCCGCCTCTGCTGGTACCTCCTGCTCCTTCTCTGCTGACGAGGGTGGTGTCGGCTCTGTACAGTTTTGACCGTTTGCAGCCTCCTTGTCAGACAGCACCACAGTTTCTGGCTCAGGATTTGCTGTGTCCCCTTTCGCTTTCTTTCTCTTCCGCTTCTGGCTCTCCACGTTGGCTGCCTCCGAGTGCCTGGTCTGCTGCATGCCCGGGAGCGCCATGCCAATGCTGGGGGAGAGGAACATCGACGGGTAGATCAGTCCAGGGGACATCCCTGGGATAAGGAACGGGTTAAAAGCTACAGGACTACTGGTAGTTATTGCGGATTCTGTCTGATTAGAAAAGGAACTAGGGCCAGGCTTCTCTTCCGAGAGAGTTTCTGTTTTCGCCTCCTGGCTGCCCGCTTTGTCCTCGGTAGCCTTCTCGGGGTTGGCCGTGGGGCTCTTCGTTGTGCTTGTCAGTGCCGCCGCCGCAGTTGCGGTGCACGCGGTTGTCATGGGCGGGCTGAGCAGGCCCCCCACGCCGAACATCTGTGGCACGGTGGCCATGCCGGGCAGCATCATGGGCAGCATGCTCAGGGTGCTCTTCACGTCCTCACCAGCGGGCACCGCCGCGAAGCCGGCGGGAAAGCCCACCAGCCCCGTCAGGGGGATCCCTTGCATGTTCCGCATGTTCTGGAGTCCCACCAGGTCCATGCCAGCAATCAGTCCATTCATGAACAGGGGTCCCATTCCAGAAGAAGAATCTGTGACGATGCCGGGGCCTTTAATGAGGTCGTTTCTGGGCCTTCTCCCCCTCCGGCGGGGCCCAGCATCTCGGAGCACAGGCTCTGTTAGGATACGATTGAATTTACTTTCTGGCAGGTATCCCTGAAAGTAAAACACACACAAGAGAAAACGCTTGACAGTTACTCTGGCATCTGACAAAAGCTGCCTTTGCCGCCCTGCAGCTGAGTCCCCGCCGGTGCAGCCAGCCCAGCCCACACGGCCCCGCGTAGGGAGCGGGAGCGCTGCAGGAGCCCCCCCCATGGGATGCAGCGCGCACATGAGGCCCCAGCACGACGTGGCACAGTCGGGAGCCCCTTGTCCCCAGCAGCCGCCGGCTCCGTGCCCAGCCCTCACACGTCTCCTGCTGCAGACCAGGCCCTTGCAGAGCACGAGCAGCGCCAGAGACCCAACTCCACCCCCAGCCCCGCAGCGCTTCTGCCTTCAGCTGCAGTGAAAAACCACATCTTTTTAGATGGAAAATCCAATTTTCAATGCTCTGCAAAACCGCAAAGCTGCACGAGATGACACGCAGACGATGTGCATGCTGCTAGGTGAAGTCACAGGCAGATCTCCCCCGAGGCACCAGAAAGGTGGTTCTGAGAACTCAGACACGGGAGGAAACCCCACGAACACGACTGGGCGAGACTCTCTTGCGACACACAACCACGGGGGCAGATCCACAGCACCGTTTCCAGCGCTGTTTTTCAGCGTTCTCCTCTCAGACGTTTCAGCGTTCTTCTGTGCCTTCCTCGAGGCAGCGGCCTTGCACACTCGCACACGCCACAACAGCCACCTCCCACAACAGCCCCGGCCGCGGGACGCCGTCACGGTGCCGCGTGACGTGCGGGAGCTGCCCCAATGGTCCTGCAGGGCTGGCAGTACGCCGCCTGCCACGCGGCACCACCGCCTGCCCTGCTCCAATGCGCCCGGACGCTGCGGGCGCCAGCGGGCACCTCACGAGCCCCACTCCGTGTGGCTGCTGTGCACGTGCAGAGCCACACACTGACGGGGCCTCAGGGCGCAAACGCCAACAGATACAGGGAAATGCCCGTGTGGGTGGCGATGTGCACACGGCAAGGAGCAAAGCAGCTGCTGCAAATGGAGCTTGAGGTGCCAGGAGTGTCACTGGGCCAGCCTGGGCGCAGTGCTCTGGAGCTGAGACATTTCCAGCATTAATTACAAGCCAGTCTGAGAGCAGCACAAACCCCTAAGCCATCTGTTTCCTCCTTGCAGCCCTTGTTCGACAAGGGCATCGTGCACAGGACCACGGCAAAAGCAAGGAGTGGGGGGAAGGGGGCAGAAGGCAAGGCTGGCAAAGGCAGCCCCAGGAGGGTGAAGGGCTACTTCGTGGGTTCTGCCACTTGCCAAGACAGGGATGCACACAGCAAACAGGGAAGGCCCAGGCATTCCCACGGAGCATTCCCAAGGCTCCCAGCTGTGTCGCGCTCTGGATGTTCACCGGAGCCGCTGCAGCCCTCTCTGCGGCGGCCGCACTCTGAGCCCCCGGCTCCGGCGCGCGCCCTGCGTCCTGCCCCATTCCCTCCGCTGCGACGGGCTGTGGACACGGGGGGTGGGAAGGGAGGGCGGCAGGATGCGCGTTTCCCCCAGAGCTCTCACTTACTGAAAGCTTAACAGTGTCAGCCCAGTCAGCTGCAACCGCGTACTCCAGGTTTGCATCGAGCCACCCTGGCAGCTCCTTCAGCGCTGGTGCCATGGCTCCCCCCAGCTACGAAACACAGCAGAGGGAGGGCCTCGATGCAGAGAGAGTTAAGCAGAACAACACCCAAGGGCACACTGGCACCCCGGGCACACGCCAAGCCCAGGGGCCGCGGCCGGTGGCGGAGGTGCTACCCTGTACACGCCACGAGCCGGGCTCAGGAGCCTGTCCTGCCTCTGCTCCCTCGGAGAGCAAGGATGGCCCTGAGGCCCTGGCATTCCGGGAGGAACCGGGGCCGGTGCTTCCCTGCTCGACACTTCCCTGCGCAGGCTGTGGCCCGCTTGCCATCTTGTGCTGTGACAGGCAACAGCACCTCCCAGCTCGTCCCTGGGGCTGCAACTGCTGCCTCCAGTGACACCGTTTGGGGAGAAAGGGACTCTTTGAGGCCTGTCCCAACTCCTGCATTTGCTTTCCCTGCAAATAAGGGGACTGAGTGGTGGCAAGAGGGCTTTTTTAAGAGAAATACTCAGAGCTGGACGAACCTCCCAAATTCGAAGGCATGGCATAGGGGAACACAGATGTGGCTGAACCAGCCTCTTTAACTGTTTGGCTTTGCTTTTTGAGGCGACTATTTCTAATGTCACCTTCTAGCCTTGTGCTGTCCTAGGCGCATTTTAAATGATACTTGGGTGGAAAGTTTCCCTGAACATCCCTGCTCACTGTTAATGTGCCGGGGGATACACTGCCCATGACTGATGTTCCTAGCTGTTTAGTAAGCATATATCCATAAGCAAGGGGAAGCATTTCAGACTGCATATTAACTCCATTTACTTCATATTTACTGCATATATTGCACTCTGAAGGGTTATCAGTATATGTTCCTGTGCCTTGTAAGGAGGAACAAAGACACTTGAGACACATTGAAATATTACAATATTGCAGTGAATTCAAATCCAACACAAGACAAACACCAGGGCTATGCGGACAGTGCCTTTAAGCCAAAGGCTGGACTGCTCTGCTGCTGTGAGACTTGGCAACACTCAGCCTTTACTTACTCCCCAGGGAAAGTCACCTATATTGACAGGTCTCTACCAGTGTAGGGCAATGTCTGTTCCAGACAACAGCCTGACACACCCATAGGCTTCTCTGGATTAACACGTTCCCCCAGGCCAGCTCGGGATGGTGTTTCAGGATAGTGAGGTCAGAGCAGGATGTGCCTGTGCTTACCCGCCGCCCGGTGCCCTTGTGCACCACAGGCACCCGCTCCTCTCCACTGAGCGAGCCCACGTCCAGCTTGGCGGGGTCCTTGCAGCGCTGCCTCCTCTGCTTGGGCTTGTCTGAAAAATTCTGCAGTGCAAACAAGACAACATTACCAAGACAGGCCGGCTGCGTGGGGCTGCGAGGCCAGAAACCCTGCAGGGGAAGGGCACAAGTGATGTCCCAAGTGACCCAAGGGACACAGGGGTCCCTGCAGGCCTGGGGAGCGGTCAGAGAAGCAGCACAAGCCGGCCTCCCTCCCCGAGCCAGTTTTCAAATGAGCTCAGTTGATTTCCACAGATATAAAGGTGGTTTTACACTTAGGACTGACGGCTCCACCTCCATCTAATGCCCCCTCCAACCCTAAGGCTGCAATCTGCTCCAAATTCCTAACAGGCATCTGTAAAAGGGGAGGCTGCCTCTAATTACCAAAGAGCGGAGCGCTCTGTGGGTGCCCTCAGTCTGCCACAGCTCCCTGTTCCTCTCAGCTCATCCACGCTTTGCTTTACTTTTATTTCAGCTTTTCCCGCTGCGCACTGCCTCCCAGATGACTGAGCAGGGAGGACCAGGCGAACGCCCCGGAGCAGCCAGGCTGGGACACCCAGCGCTGCCCAGGAGGGCAGCCAGCCAGGCCAGGCTCTGCGCTCCTCTCGCTGCTGCTCTGCTTTCTGTGCAGCCCAGGGCTGTGACACTGCAGCCGGAGCAGCCTGCGACGCGGTAGCTTCTGTGCAGTTTTTAAGGTAAGAAACACTCCTCTCTAGGAAACCTGTTGTTTCGGGGCTGGCCAGCCCAAGAGGCGCTGGGTAGGTATCCTGGCAGAGCAGGGCTGAGCTTGCCAGGGCCTTGCAGGGCATGGAAAGCCTCATTTCATACCAGAACACTGGCAGGAAGCAACACGCACAGGCTTCGAGCAGCCCGGCTCCTCCAGGAGACACTGTTAGTAACTGTGCAGCGTGGGGGCTGCGGCACAGACCTGCAGGTCCTTGGCACCTCCCTGGGGCAGGACGCCCAGCTCTGTGAGTGGCTGTCACTGCTGTGCTCAGCTCCCCAGTCCGGGGGACGCTGCGAGTCGCACCGCAAGGAAAGATGCTGCATTTCCACTGCACAGAAAGCCTGAGCTCAGGAGCAACCAGAGGAAAGACTGACACGTAGGACAACACGCGCATGCGCACAGCTGCAGGCTGCCCTTACTGCGCCAAAGGCAGGAACCTCGAGGGTGTAGTCAGACTGCTGGCGGAGCCACTCCAGGAGACTCTTATTCGGGCCGGGTTTCTCGGCGTGGCCGAGCGCGGCCGGGGCTGCGGGCGGCGCGGAGGAGGCAGCCCCCGGCACATCCGGCAGCGGGCTGCTCTGCGGAGGCTGCGCCTGCTCCTCCTGGGCATCCTGCTGCGGAGGGAGGAACAGGGAGAGCTCAGCAGCGGCCCCACACACAGAGTTCCACAGCCCTGCACCACACAGGGTGTCCTCAGAATCCACATGTTCCTCGGGACTGTTCCCAACCACACGTGCTCCCATCCAGCCCCTAACGCCGCTGGCACGCAGGGCAGCACGACCTGCGAGATGCTCCTGCACCCACCTGGAAAAGAGTGCCAGAAGCAATCACTTGCCCCGGGACAAAAGCCCAGGCCCCTGGGCTCCGGAGAGCGGCCTCCCCTCCCAGCTCTGGACGAGCGGGCTGCTTGCCCCTCTCCAGAGGGCAGCCCCGGCCTGGCTCGCTGGGCAGCAGCTCGCTGGGCAGCACGGCGCTGGCAGAGCCAGCCCCAGGGGCTCTGCAGGGCTGCCTGACCGCCCTCGCGGCAGGGAGGGACTGGAGCATCCCCACATCATGCCTAAAGATGAACTAAAGGGCTTGGCCCAGCAACCCTCCCTTCCTTGGGGGGATCCTGGGGTAGAGGGAGAGGGGAAATTCCAAGGGATCGTCCTCAGGTTTGTCAACCCCAGAGCCCCCGGCTGAGACACCTGCTGCTGCCGGTGCTCGGCAGCACTCCAGCACTTGAGGCAGTGCACCACTGGGCTTCCCTTCCTCCCCTGAGAAATACCTACCTCTGCCTGCCTCAGCACAACTCAAGCTGCCCTGGAGGCGGCTAAAATGTTACGAGGGGAGAGCTGGACCGTGAGACAGCTGTGCTGGCTCCACCGGACCCAGGTGAAAGCGGGGAGCCCCAACCTACCTGCAGCCTACTGGGAAGAGGCCTCTCCTTCAAGAAGATGAGATCCATCCCTTCCACATTTTTTCTTCTGCCCCGTCTCCTCCTCATGGCAGCATCGTCTCTGCGGAGGCTGCCATTGACGATCTGCCCAGTGACAGGATGGATCAGCCCTGCCTGGAGAATGCCAGACAAGTCCATGCCCAGCGAGCCCTGGAGGGCGTTCACAGTCCCCAGCTTGGGCATGGTTGTGTTCAAGGGGAAAGGAGAGGAATTTCCTGGTGAGCCATCAGAGGCTCTGGACAGGTCCATGGCTGAGTCACGCCAGCCATTCAGCACGATGGGTGGATGAACGTGGGTTGCTGCTAAATGCTCCAGGCTCCTCTGTTTGGCGTCTCTCTCCAGCTCGAATTCATACGGCCTTCGGTGCTTCCGTTCATCCTTCACAAAGGCAGGGGCCAGGAACCCTTCCTGTGTACAGCAAAGCCACAGAGAGGGTCACAGCTGCTCAGGCCTTGCCCGGGACCGGTTCGTGACACCGACGCAGCGGGCTCTGCAGGGAGCACTCACGCTCCTCCACTTCTCCACTGGAAGGTGCCTTTTCCAAGATCATCACACCTCAGCGGGAGTGGGTGCAGTGGCACCCAGTGACACAGTGGGTTCTCCCCATGGTGACACAGCTCAGGGTGCTCTGTCAGTTGCTGAGGGACCAGCTGTCCCAGGCCAGAAGCTTCTGGCTCTGTGCAGTGCCCACCAGAGAGAGAAGACGAGAGCACTGCTCAGTGGGCAGTGCCTATGCCTCTCCATTTGGGACACCAGGAGAGTGTCCCCACGTCCCCCTCCCATTCTTTGCCTGTGCCGGGAGCTCCAGCACTAGTTCTGGAAGCGCCTCTCCAGCCTCTGGACACGCAGGGAGCAGCGGCCTCACTGCAGGAGGACAGCAGGGAGCAAGGGGAGCTCACCAGGAGCGCTCGGCGCTCCCGGGGCCTCCTCGTACCTGTGAGATTAACACCCCGTTGCTGAAGGTGGCATCCGGGCCTTCGGCCTCCGCAAAGCTGCCCCTGCCGCTGGCGCTGCTGGCAGCAGCCGGGGCGCCCATCACGCTCGGTGTCTCAAACTGCTGGCTAGAGGAGGGCCACTTGCCCTTCAGGATGGCATGGCAGACATTGTCGATGCGGTTGATGATCACACGGTCCTGCAAGCACAATTGGACAGAGGAATTTTCCATGGTGGCAACTCCGCCAGCCACCGTGCTCCAACACAGACACAGGAGTGGGACACGGGCAGGCCACAGGGTTGGTGGCACAAACACAGGTCAACTTGGCTGATTACTGCATAGTCCTGAGACACATCTGGGGAGCTTCAGTCCCACACCATGGCTGGGCGCTGCTACCACGAGACCCAGAATACCCCTCTCAGCCAAAAATCCCACCTACCACGCAGCTCCATGGGACTCTGACACCAAAATCCTGCCTGCACAAGCAGGAAAAGGCCAGTAGTGGGAAAACAATCACGGTTCATCTCTTCATATACAGCCCAAGATGTGGGTGGCAGAGGAGGAGCAGGAAGCAGGTCACGAGGGAGGCTATGGGACCCCCCAGGGAGAAGACTTCTTTCTGGTCATCCAGGACTGCTTGGAAGGAAGCAGCAAGTCCTAAATCTTTCACAAATACGGGTGTTTTCCTTTGCAAGGCCAGGGACAAATAAGGACCATAGCAAAAGCAGGCTAGGACTTCAATTCACGTATATGCTCTTGGGATCAAGCATGAATCCAGCCTTGTGACCTCGATTCAGCAGGGAAATGCCCCTGGGCAGTTCTGTCCAGGCCCTGGTGCTCTGCCAGAGCAGCCGTGGCAGAGCATGAGGAAGCAGGGCTGGGGACGCCTCGCTGCTCAATGGCTGCAGCATGCACAGACTTTGTTTGCAAGCTACCTTGGGCCACTCGGAGAAGGAGTAGAGCGTCTTCTCTTGCAGAAGCTGCGCTATGGTGGGTGCACGGGCATCCTGAAGGTCGTCGATGTCCCCATGCAGGACAGAGGCAGAACTCTTGCTCTCCTCCTCCAGGTACTTGTCTGCACCGAGAGCGACAGAGAAGAGAGCCCATGAGCTCCCTGCCTTGGCCACCCTTCAGGAGCGGGGGCAGCTTCCCCATCTTCCCACCCTGACACACAGCAGCTCCCCCAAGGGCCCCATTCTCCAATGAGCCACCAAGAAATGGGGCACTCCTGGCTCATGGTGGGATCGGTGCTGCTCAGCAAGGCCATCTCACGGGGCTCCTACTGCAGTGGTCCCTGTCCCTTTGCCAGTGACAGGGCCAGAGCCCCAACCAAGGCCCAAGCCTCACCAGCTCAAGCCACTTGTTAACCAGGGCATCCTGCAGCCTGTGGCCATCCCCAGGGCAGCAGGGCTGGGGGACTCAGTGCTGGGAAGGGCCAGCCCTTGGTTCCTCCATCAACAAAGCCCCAGCAGCCGGAGCAGCCCCGATTCCCGAGACGGGAGCCAAGGCTCTCCCTGGCAGCGGGTCAAGGCTCGGTGCTGAAGGCAGCGTGGAGGTGACGCCAGCAGCAGGGCGCTCGCTCTGCACTGTACCTTGGCTCTGGCCGCCGTTGCCTTTCTCCTCCTCCTCTCTGCTCTCCCCCATGTCCTGCTGCAGGCGCAGGCGCTCGGCATCTCTGCAGCCTGCGTGCGCCTCGGCCCCACGGGCCCAGGCGTCCCCACCGGCTGGGCCGGGCGCTGCCTCCAGCGGCTCTGCAGGAGGCTGGAGCAGGTGGCTTGGAGGCTGCCCCAGGGAGGGCTGCAGGGTGCCCTCCTCCTCCAGGCCCTGGTCCTGCCCTTCTCCTGGAGCCGGCTGCCCCAGTCCCTCGAGTGGCCCCAGTCCCAGGGACGCTCTGTCGCTGTGCCCATCTGCTGGGCAGGTGTCCTCAGGCGTGGGGAGGCTGGAGTTCTGCTCCTCACCCCTAAGTTCACTGGCCTCGGGGTCACGACTGCCCCTGGCGCTTGGACCAGTCAAGTCCTCCACCACCTCTGCTGCTGTCTCAGAGTTATCATCGTCATCTTCCTCCTCCTCATCCTCCTCGCTATGGCTCTGGCTTGGACCCGATTTTGTTTTCACGCCTTTCTCCTGCAGCAAATTAATGAACCTCTGTTCAGGGGGAACCTTTATTTCGTAGTTATGAAGACTGGGACCGTAGAGCCCCACGCTGATGACCCCTTCCACGGCGCCACGTTCCGGCAGCGCTGCCCCACAGCTGGGCAGCTCTCCCTTCTGCTGCAGGGTGTCGCAGAGCTCTGTGGGGATATCCCTGGCGGGGTCATCTTCTGCAGGAGAAGGCGACGGCTCCGCTTCTTCATTTGGAGCAGCTATTCCCTCGCAGCCCACCTGCAAACCTTCTAGGAAGGAGGCGTCCCGCATGGCCTCCGCCTCGCTGCCGGAGGGATCCTCGTCCCCCTCCAGCTTGCCCTCAGCAAGTTTAGCTCCGTCACCCGCAGCGTCCGTGCCACCGGGGCTGTCTCGGGCCAGGGAGCTCTGCTCGCTGTTACAGGCCTTGTCCTCATACATCATGCACACCAGCGAGTCTGGCAGGGAGCTCTCATCGTAGCTACTGCTCATGATGTCCCGCACTTTGGACAGGAACATGTCACAGCCTGTGTCCGGGGGGCTGCCCCCAGCCTGGCACATGGCGCTGTCCATGTGCTCCAGCTTGATCTGGCTCTCGGTTTCATTCTCCAGGGATTCGCAAGCCCGGTCCACCTGGCTATAGAGGGGGGAGCTGTAAAGTTTGGAGTTAGTCTGGTAAAGGCAGCACAGGGCTTCCGGGCCTGGGATCCCTGCTCTTTTGTGCTGCGCGTAGTTCCTGTATGCATCCAGAAAGGAGAGCTGAGGGTCGTTCATGATGTAGTAGTCCGTGCGGTTCAGGCCGTGCTTAGCGGTGCCGATGAGCAGGTCCCGATCATGCTTGCCGCACTCCCACCACACAGGCAGGTAGAGGCTTGGCCGGCACAGCTTGAGGCGCTCGTGCAGCTGGGGACACTTGAGCACCTGCTCGCGCACCTTGCGCAGCAGCTCAATGCGGTAGAGCGTCCTGGCCGCGCGCTCCTCCGTGATGGGCTCCACGTAGATGTCCGGGTCTGCAGGACCCGCCGCACAGAGGGCAGGCCCGGCCCCGTCACCCGGCGAGCCCTGCCGCGGCATGTGCCCACGGGGACAGCACCCGCGGACACGCACGGGCGCCACAGAGCCCTGCGGAGATGCAGCCGCCCGCCTCAGACACCCACCCTGGTGGGTCCTGGACACCGACGTGTCGCACGGTAATGGGGATGGCCTGTGTTTGCCCTGGCCCCACGCCGCAGGACCGGCAGGGGTTACTTGGGCAGTTACCTTTGCCCAGGCTGCTGGTGAGGCGGGGGCAGTGCTTTCCAGCCTCGCCTCCCCGTGTCAGCGTTCCCCTTCCACACCTTTGTAAACAACGGGCCCCACTGGAGGAAACTCCTGACTCCATCAGCAGCAAGGCAGCTGCGGGTGCAGAGGATGTTTGGGTCCTGCCTGAGCCCTGCTCTGTGTGTGGAGCTGCCAGTGGAGCAGCTCCCTGGGCCACGGGCCCCTGGCACCCCTCAGCAGCTTCCCATGAGTGGTATGCCCTCAACTCACGCAGCTCGTGGATGAGAAGCAGCTAATCCAGGCGCATTGACACATGCCTCTAAGGCACTGCACCTGAGACCAGTCCTCCTGGCATGTTTAAGATGAGATCCTTTCTGATATTGCTAAAAGCAAATAATTTTGTGTTTAAATAATTGCCAAGCAGCTTTTCATTTCCCATCACCTGCATGGGGCCAGTGCTCTGGGGCTTTGCAAGACACTGCTGGAACACAGATGCCTGCTGTGTTTGCCAGGCTTCCCCACTCCTCCTCCGGAGGGATCAGACTCCCTTTTTCCTACTGAGAGCTTCTCACTTAGCTAGGGCCACAGCACAGGTGACACAGGGACACCGTCCAGCCCAGGCGAAAGTTGTGTGGAAGGGAACCAGCAATACAGATTGCACCAACAGCCCTCTGTTCCACTACGGAGGAGATGTGAGCGCTTGCAAACCTGGGAACTCCTCCTCCACCCTGGCATCTCCCTCTTATGTCACCTGTGCAGCGGTGACAAGGCAGACGGATGCAGGTGGCTCCTGTGAGGCAGGGCCTCGCTGCAGCTCTCCAGTCACAGCACGCGCACTGTGCAGAGCAGGGCTTTGGCGCTGGGCACTGCCGCGCGCCTGGCTCGCGGCTCCAGCCTTCCTCAGCCCCTCACTGCTCCCCTGCTCTGCTCTTCAGTGCCTGGGCCATTTCTAGCCCACCTGGTCATACCTGGACCTGCTGCTCCCTCCTGCCCCCGGTCAAGCCTTTTCAACTCACCATCGTCTTTCCACGGTGGGAGGCCACAGACATTCTTGCACATGGCCACGAAGCTGTAGTAATACTTTTCCAGGCTCTCATCCGTCTTCTTCTCCAGCCGAGAGATGGCTCTGAACTGGGCCCAGTCAAAGATCTTCTTCTCCTGGTCATAGACGACCCCAAAGGAGGAGACGGTGCGGTAGAAGTCTGCCTGTTCCCTCCTGGTCCACCTGAGAGGCAGGGAGGGAGACAGCAAGCCCTGAGCACGTCGCGCGCAGCCTCGCGCCGGGCCAGTGGCAGGGCTGCGCCGAGGGGCAGAGCACCACGGCCGCACACGCTGTGTCCCCGGGCACATGGCGCGTGGGCGCCAGAGGCTCGCGGTGCTGCCCGAGCAGCTCTGCACTGCCACGGGACTCCGGCGCCAGGAGAACCTACGGAGGCGCCGGGCTGCTTCGACGGCTTGCTTCAGCTCGGTCTCATTGCTGCCACGGGACGGCTCCGTGCCAGGGATGAGCAAGGAAGGTCCCTTCACACGGAGTGCAACTGGCTTACGCAGGACGTGAGGTAGGAGCAGCTTTATTGCCTTGAGTGTGCTAATAGTGAATGCCAGACAGGAGCGAGCAGGACTGCGGGGTGACAGGCAAACGTTCTCCCCACCAAAGGGGAGCAGCCGTGGGCTCTGCGCTGCAGCGCTCTCACACCGCAATTTTCACCCTGCCTCAGCCTCTGAGCTCTCACGTCAACAGGGAACATGGGGATCACTCGACGGAAGTGCCCACCTTTGCCTAAGCCAGGCAAAGGCAGCCCTGGGCACACAGGCCATTGAAAAGCAGGCTGGACAAGACAGATCAGGCTAAAAACTGCACAGGAAGAGCAGGAGCCAGTCACAGCGAGGAGAGCGAGCGCCGTGTGAGAAGGAAAGTCAAATCCAATTTCCTCTGACCTGCAGTTCCCTGCCAAATGTTAGCAAGCAGCAGTGACACGACAAGGGAGGCCAGAGGGGCTAACGGCACCCACAGCGCTCCCAGACAAAACAGCCTGAGATCCAGCAGTCCGACTCGCCAGGGAGCCCTCCACAGTGAGACTTCATTCCAAAGAGGAGAGCAGGTAACAAGAAGCTAATCAAAAATCACCAAGCAGAAGGAGCCCAAAGAGCAGCCTGCTTTTTAAAGGCCTGAAACTGACAGCTGCTGGGAATGGGCCTAGCGGGAACCACCCCGCAAGGAGACCTCACACACAAGGAGACGAAGGGCCAGGGGCTGAAGAGCAGGGAAGGCTGGGATGTTCTGGTGCCCCGCACAGCCCCATTGCCACCACTGGAATTGACGGCCACCTTGGAGCGGAGCCCGCGCAGCTGGGAGCGCTGCAGGAATGGGGAGAAGAAGCAGCGATGAGCGGGAGCCAGGGACAGCCCAGCAAGAGCGGCCAACGGCCAGCGGGAATCGCTCGGCCCTGCTCCCCCGGCATGCGGGGCTGCGGGCAGCAGACCAGTGACAGAGAGATGTGCTCAAAAAGAGCGTGAGGGAAGACCCCATTCGACACGGAGCTATACCAGCGGAACCCCATTTCTGTTGCCGTACTGGGAGGTGCCAGGCCACGCTCCCACTGTTCCTCTGTTTCCTGGGACGTTGCAGGCGGGGAGCCCGCTGCAATATGCTGCCACGGGACCCACTGGCTTCTGAGCCCGCAGCAGGAGGCCGATGGGGTAGCGCGGGGCCGAACAAGCTGCCCATGCAGGCTGTGCCCCGCTCCTCAACCACCCTCATCCACTGCGTGGCCTGGCTCTGGCACACAGCCCAGCAGCAGCCCTGGCGCTGGAGGACAGTCCTGGGCCCGGCAGGTGCTGGATTTGCTCCAGAAGATGCTCGATTTGTCCCCCTACACTTCCTCCTTTCAAGCTGTTACCAGCTGCTACCCAGCAGCTGCACCTGGAGGCCCAAGGACACAGCAGGTCCTTCCTGGGCATGGGAGAGGGGGAGAGGCTGGCAGCCCATGTCCCTCCTGCAAGGACCCCACATCCAACTACCGCAAGATTTCCTGGATGAGCTCTGGGGCGCAGGAATTGAGGCCAGCCCACACAGCTCTGCAAAGCACGCACTGCGCAGGGCCGCCGCGTTACCTCCTCTGCATCTCCTTGCTCGCTGAGTCCATCTCCGAGGCTCTCCTGAACATCTCGTCCTGCAGCCAGTACCCATGGCTGCCGGGCCCCAGCATGTCGGCGCGGGGTGGCAGCTCCTTGCGGTTGCAGCGCTGGTAGACAGTGACGAGGCGCCGCAGCCGGGCTGTGAGGGCAGATGAGACAGGCCAGCAGGATCTGTCTGAGTCGGAGCCATCCTGGGCTTCAAACATCAGCAAGGACATTAGGATGTAACTCACACTGCACAGTCACAGGCCCCACATCCCCATGGCTCCCTCTGCCCGAGTGCTCTCCTGCCCTGCCCTTCCCATAGGGAGCTCTAGGGAAGAGACTCCGGGAGCCAGGGGCTGCCCTGAGCATCCCTGGGCTTCTGCATCCCTCAAACTGCTGGCTCAGAGCCGCCCCGGGTCTGAGCTTCCCTGTAGCAGGCCCAGGGGCTGAGAAAAGGGGTAGGGAATCCCAGGGTAGGAAAATGAGCTGCGGGCCAGACCGCACCTGGGATGGCAGCCCTAGGACTGCCCTGACCCCTGGCCCCAGGTCTGAGCCCGGGCTGGAAGCCCCGGGGCTCCCTGGGTGCGCTGACAGGCGCACAGGACTCGCGGCCTCGCGGTGACGGGCGCACGGGACTCGCGGCCTCACCAGC